GAATCGGCAGCGCGCCATGGACCATCGCCCGAGGTGTGGATCCGCCCCGAGCAGCTCGCCGCCAGGCTCGGGGGCAAGCAAAAGGGGGGGAGACAGGCTCAGCCTCGGTCCCGATCGCCCACTCATCAACGACAGGGGCTCGATGGCCCACGCCGCCCAAGATCTGTCGGCGATGCATTGCCGACGCAGGCTCGATGCGTCTCCCCTGCGCAAGACCCCTGGTGGTTTTCGAGTCATACAGTCGGACCGAGGTGTAAGATCGAGGTCGGTTCGGGGAGGGCACCCTCGTGTTCTTCGTGTTTGCTGGATGTTCTTGTGCACCCTGGGGGGGCGGGGTAGCTCTAATGTTCTGTCTCTTTTGGCCGACGGAGGGTCTCATGTTCTTTAGGGATGTCTTTCTGACCTAGGTCCGACTGTAGATCCGGTCTAGATTGTTCCGGAACGTTCTCAGAGTATTCTGGAACGCTCTCTGAAACGGCCGCGGCGCCCAAGTTACGTCCCCGAAACCCGCCGATCTTCTGAGATATTCCCGATCTATGTCGGCCCGATGTTGTCTCGATTCTGCCGTCGTCTTACGATGCCTCTCACAGGCTTTCCCCCGTGCCGCAGCTCGCGTGGCCCTCTCCTCAGCAGGCCAGCGGCGCCTGGGACGCAGGGAGTGCCTGCGTGCTGTGCTCTGAGGGCGCCGAGGCGCAGTTCGCGGGAAGGGGGCTCTTCATCCCCAAGGACTCGAGGAGAGTAATTTCGGTCACGCGCAGGGGGGTGTGGGGGTAGGGGGAAGTCTTCTCAGAAGCACCCCTGCTCTTTAGAAGGCGCGGGCGTTATTTGTAGTAGGGCTGGCGCCTTCTAAGAAGCAGATTTCTTCTGAGAAGCCTTCCCCCCTACCCCTACCCCCTTGTGCACGCCGCCAATCAATCTCAGATCCTGCCCAGATCTCCGACGATCTGATTTGTTTCACCGACCTTGCGGATGGGGTTCCCGTGGTGTGTTCGTTTGGGAGGGTCTGCGGGGGTAACCAGGTACCCCCCAGGACATGGCCCCGGCCACGGGCGGAACGCCGGCAGAAACCGGCGAAAGTCTGGCGGAAGACGGCCGCAATTTGGCAGACGCGCTTCTGGGCGGCACGTAGGGCCCCAAGATGGTCCGCAAGCTGGTCCAAGAGGGCCACGAGTCGCCGACGGATCGGTCCACATCGTTGAGGATGGCGCCCAGACGGCCCAGGGAGCCCCCAAGACGCCCCGAGAGGTCTCCAAGAGGCTCCCCAAGAGAGCCCCAAGAGTCAAAATTCATCGGTCTCCCTGAGGTGTTCGAAGGTTTCTCGCGTTTTCGATTGTTCGGTTTCCCAGTACTCCAAGACGGCCCAAGAGGCCCCAAAGATCGCCCCAAGATGGCCTAAGAACCCCCCACGAGAGCGCCCAGACGGCCCAAGACGCCCCCAAGATTGCCCAAGAGGCCTCGAAGACGGCCTCAGAAGGCCCGAGGAACGCCCCAAGAGGGGCCCCAGAGGGGGCGCAGGGATCTCCGCCCAAAGAACTCCCAGCAGGCCTTCAAAAGGCGTACAATTGTAAGCGTGACTTGATACATACGTAAGCCAGAAGTACGGCATGAGTCCCACATACTTGAGAGATCAAGCAAACAGAAACACGACATACGCATGACGGAACTAAGCCGCAATTCAGACACATAAATACATACATAGCTCGCGCTATGCAGTGATAAGCGTGACTTGATACAGACTTAGACCATAAGTGCGTCATGAGCCCAACAAAAGAGACACAACGAAGACAGTACTAAGACATGCTTAACAAATAACCAAAACATTATTCATATACAACAGATACATATTTAGGACACACGCTGAACAATGGTAAGCGTGACTTGATACATCTTAAGTCTGAAGTGCGACATACATCTATAAGATGTTATCAGGACCCACATAACACATAACCGAACCATTATTAAGGCAGTTTTCAGACAGGCATTCATATGTAGGGCACACGCTAGTCAATGGTAAGCGTGGCTTGCTACATATTCAAACCACATGTAAGGCATACACCCCACATAGTTGAGACATGCATAAGTCACGGGTAAATTATGTTTAAGGCATACATGAGACATACTAACTCTTTAATCCAGACACAGCATTTTATTTTGAGGCACGAGGCACGGATGCATTCGTAAGACATAGCGAATACATAACTCATACATCTTCAGGCACATACATACATGCGCAGGACACGCTCGACAATAGCAAGCGTGAACTGGTGCATGCTCAAACCATCAGTACGGCAGGCGCCGCACAACATTGAGACACAGCTAAACGTGATTAAAGACACCCGTAAGACACAATCAGGACATACTTCGTACATAAGTGGCAACGCGCTCGACAATGGTAAGCTTGACTTGATACACAACTAAACCAACAGTACGACCTGAGTCCCTCAGAATTGAGCTATCCAGAAGGCATGCGCAGGACATACTTAAGACACAACGAAGACACGATTGAGATACATTCAGCAACAGGAATACATATTGTTGGTACACGCTCGACAACGGTAAGCGTGATTTGAAACATACTTAAACAAAAAGTACGGCATTGGGCAGGCGTACAACAGCACCATGCGGAAACCAGGGGGCGCACCATGCGTCCGAACATGTATGTATCATTGGCTGCCGCCGCACCGCCGACCCATTGGGGCGGCAGTAGGAGTGAAAAACAGAGTTCACGGAACGCGCGCGATTTCTGGGGAATCTCGGGGTTTCAGCTTCGTGGGATTTCGTCGGGGGCGGTTGGCGGATCGCGGCTCTGCTCTTGGGCTTCTCTGGGCTCTCTTGGCAGCATTTTTGAGGCCTCTTGGGAGCCATGTTGAGGCCTCTTTTGGGCCTCTCGGGGGCCTCGTGGGAGCCTCTTGGGGGCCTCTTGGCACCTCCTCAAGTCTTTTCGGGGCCGAGGGCTCGAAATGTCCATTCGGGTTCCCCCTGTGGGCCTCCTCTTGGGGCCGTCCTGGGGCTCTCCTGGGCCGTTTTGGAGGCTTCTGGGGCCGTCTCGGGGCCCTCTTGGGCAGTCTTGGAGCCCTCTTGGGGGCCTCTTGGGCGATCTTGGGTCGATTTTGAAGGCTTCTTGGGCAGTTGTGGACCTCGTGAAAGCCCAGGAGGCGAATGTCATAAAAAATATGTTTCCCCTGGGGAGTGGATCGTTGTTTGCTTTTGGAGGGCCTCTTGGGGCGCCTCTTGGAGCGTCTTGGGGGCCTCTGGGACCGTCTGCAGGCACTCTTGGGCATCTTGGAGCGATCTTTCGGCGACTCGTAGCCCTCTTGCACCGTCCGGAGGGGCTTTTGGGGCCCTCCTGGCCCGTTTTGGGGCCCCCTGCGGCTTAGGGTGCGGCCGGCTCCTTTGCCCCCCACCCCTCCAAACCGGCCAGACCGGGCTCCCGGGGGAGGGGTTTGGGGAGGGGGAAGCATCTCACACGCCGTGACCCCAAGTGGTCGGCGGAATTTGCATCTTCTGGAAACCCTCCTGGGCCCTCTTGGGAGCCTCCAGGGCCCCTCGTGGGGCATTATGGGAGCCCTTCGCCCTCTGAGCAAGTCTCTGCGGCCTCTTCTGTGGCGCTGTTGGCCGTGACTTCGGGTTTCTCGGCTGCCATCGCGAGCCTCTAGAGATGTCCACACCGCGATTCTTGTTCATCCTGGGACGCTCTTGGAGCTTCATGGGCCTTTCTCGGGGCTTTCCTGAGTGACCTGGCAACCATATCGAGCACCTCGGAGCTTGCAGAAAAGATCTCTGACAGCGTCAGAGGTGCAGTTCCGGGGCTCGACTTGCCCGAGGTTTTGATCACCTGGACGGGCCACTTGGCCGTGCCAGCGAAAGCATGCCTCCAAGCAGCCCAAGGAGGCTCCAGCATCGCCCCAAGAGAAGCCCCAGAGAGGAATAGAGACCAAGATTTCCAGCTTTCCGCCCAAAGAAACCTTCAGGAGGCCCAAAAAGGCTCCCAAGAGGCCCCGAAGACGCCCACAAAAGCGCCCAAGAGGCCCCTAGGAAGCCCCCAGAGGCCCCCAGCACAGGCCCAAGAGACGTCCCCCAAGAGGGGCCCAGGATTGCCCAAGAAGGCCCCGATGGCTGGACACGCCCAGACAAAGCGTCACAGCGTCAACCAGACACCACGGGAACCAACGTAATGCTCTCCATGGGGATATTCTTCTTTGCTTCTCCTTGTCGCAAGTCACGCCCACTTGTCCTCCAAGGTCGGGGTTCGTGGCAATGTCAGGCTTCAATCTGGCCGAATTTCCTTGATTGCGGCTTCCAGGGGCCGCTGTCGGGCCGCGTGACCATCAAGAACGGATTTGGGGCGCGACGTGATTCCCAGGGAAGGGGTCGGGACCTCTGGGGCCGCGGATTGACAAACATCACATCGGAGGATGTCAGGGTGGCGTTTCAATTTTTGCGAGTCCTCCGGTTTCGCCCAGTGTAGGGCCCCAGGGCCTTCGCGAATCGATCCGGCGCGAAGCATGGCGCAGAAAGTTGGTGGGCTCGGGTCGTGATCTTTCTCCATGTTGCAGTCTGCCGCGTCGTCGGATCTCGAGGAAGAGTGTGCGGGGCGCTCCACAGCAGACGTGCTCGCGCCGTGCGACAGAGGTTTTGGGCCGCTGTCGGCCCGGCACTCGCCGGGCCCCTGGACCGTCAAGAAACGACTCGGGGTGAGAGAGCGGCCCTGGGGAAAGGGTCCCAGACATGCGACGTCCTGATTTTTTCAGTGCGGCGTCCCCGGAAGTCCCGACCCTCCCCCCAGGGCCGGTTTTTCATCCTGAGTCGTTTTTGACGCTCCCAGGGGCCAGCGAGGGCACCCAGGGATTTTGCAAATTGCCAAAAATTTGCCGTCCTGTTTTGTTTCACGACGCGATCATGTCTGGGGTCAGGACTTTCTTGGCCGACGTGGGGCGTTCCAGGCAGGGCCTCGCCTTGGAGGGGGTCGGAGAGGTTGGCATCCCTCCTCGGCGGTGAGCGGCGGGAGGGCGGCGGAGGCCGGCGGAAGTTGTAACACGGTGGAGGGTCCGCTGGCGGAAGCTGGCGGAAGGCCAGCGGACGCCAGCGGAAGGAGAAGGTGCGCCCTCAGGAGGTGCGTCCCCGAGGGGTCGAGGGAGGAACAAGTTGCCATGACCATGCCCATCGCTCGTTGAGAGTATGTATTTCTGGTTTTCGAGATCCCGATCTGCTGTAGGCGCCATCCCGGTTAAAGGGTCGAATGGTTGCCCCTCTTTCTTCCTCCTGTGGGCCGGGCGGAAGCTCGAATATGACTGTTCAGGGGTTCCTGCGAGCAGAGTAAATGGCTTGGCGGGCTGAAGGGGGCGGGTAGAGGGCAAGCAGCACAGGCAGCAGCGGGAGCACGAGCGGCCGGAGCCGTAGCCATGTACCCCGCTGACTGGAGCTCCTGTCTGGCCTCAAGCTTCTGTCCTCAAGCTTCTGTCTGTGTGGGCATAAGCTCCGAGGACGTGGCCTGTTCTGTGCGGGCCGCCGCGAGCGCGCTCAACGAAGGCACGCTGGAGTGCTCGGAGGGCTTCTGCGCGGTCTTCTCCTCCGACCGGGGCCAGTGGTGATCGTGGGCGAAAACGTGAGCGGGGCCTCGCGGGCCAGGCCCATGGGCCGCGGCTCCGCGGATGCGGAGCGTTTCTTCGCGGATGCCCCGCGCGGAACGCATCCGGGCGGCCGCGCATCCACGGGATAGCGCCCCAGATCCCAGACCGCGAGGGCGTGCACTCCGAGGTGCGCTGCCTCTTGCAGTGTGCGCGTCCTCGGGCTGCGGTGGGCCCGGCCACAGTGCCGGCCCCCGCAGCTTGCCACGACAAGGGCCTGATTGGCTCTGGGGCGTGCGCGCGGGCAAAAGTTGACCGCGCGCGCGTCGTGGGGAGTAAGGGAGGATGTGGATTCGTTCCCCGCTCGTGAGGTACGTGCTGCATCGCGCGGGCCTGCGCGACGCCGCCCTGACCAGCTTCGGGCTCCCTGACGGCAGGGTGCCTCCGCCGAGCGGCCCGCCGGGCATGACGCCGCGGCTCGCGTGTTCGGGGTCCGTGTTGGGGCTGCCGGGCGACGGGCCCACGTTCGAGCCGGGGGACAGGATCGAGATGAAGAGGTGCAGGCTACTGTGGTCGCCGCGGGGGTTGCTAGGAGATAGGTGGTGATAACTGAGCCTTGTTTTTGGGTGGTGAGACTTGTGCGTGTGTGTGTGTGTTCCGCGAGTCGGTTGGGGGATCAGCGATCCGGGGTGAGTAGGCTTCGCCCACCCAGCGGAGTTTTGCAACCCTGCTGGGCCACTTAGGTCAGGCTGGGCCAGATAAGCTCACCCTAGCATCTGCTTATACAGCTCCCTATCCCCCAAGCGACCCTGCGCCGATCGCAGTACGCGGAAGAATGGCCCTTCGCCGGGGTGGCCTTTGGTGCTGGCACAAAGGGGCAGGGCCCCCCCCCTTGCCCTGGCGCGCGCGTTTGGACTCGGCCCCCGCCCCGCCCGCCCGCGGCCCCCAGAACCCGCACACAAAAGGTCACTCTTGCCCAGGGCCACTCTCCCGTACGGCCGAAGGTACGACGGCGAGGACTGGGAGGCTGCAACAGGGGCGGATCTACCCAGGGGAAGACATGACATGCCACTGTCCAGAGGCTCGGGTCGCCAGTCCCTTCGGCGAGGCTCCCCGGCGAATGGAATGATGTCTAGTGCCCGCCCCTGGGCTATACCCGCGCCTGGTGCCTCCGCCGAAGGACTGGGAGGCCGGGGGAGAGGTCAGGGACGTGGTCACCGACGGCCCCCGCCAGCTGGGCGACCTCGAAATGCCCGTGGGCTCGGTTCTGGTGGCGTTCCAAAACGGGGCCGCCCTGAAATGGGTCTGGGCCCAGGAGGTGCCCACGCGGCTGCGGAAGGAGGAGAGCGACAGGAGCCACAGGGACGAGAGTGACAGGAGCCCGTTGTTTTCTCTGCAGCCTCTTTACATCACGTGTCCTGGCATCCAGTGCTGCTGTGGGCCCATGCTATCAGGAACACGGCCCTCAGCAACATGCTTCTGTTCCCAGACAGTCCGTTATGGACAAATTCCAGTAACGCTCTGGACGAACCGGTCGCGACCGAAATGCGGTCTCCAGTCGTGAATTCCAGCGACGAGCGCACCGTCGAAGTCTTCAAAACCGTCGCTGGGACCCCGACGCGCCGTCTCTGCGTTGCCAAAATCCTAGCCCCTCTTCGCCGCGACTTGAATTTGGCGCGACCGGAATCCCCTAGGCCACCCAGATGGGGTCGGAGCAGATGGGGTCGGTGGATCGCGCCGCATCGCCGATGCATCGAGGATGCAACGTGATGTGGAGGCCATTTTTGACACGCCGACGTCGCCAATGGATCGGCGACGTCGCCGGTGTGTCGCCAATGCATTGGGCGATGCACTGGTGATGCATCGACGATGCATCGGCGATGCGGAGCGATCCTGTGATCCTGCGACCCCATCTATTCGGACACCATCTGCG